GAAAATGACAGTTCGGTCTCTTGTTTAGTTTTAGTTCAAAAGTTGCTCTTTCTATTTATCTGCTACAATTCCTAACCCTTGGACTATTTTGTATTTCCTATTTTTAGGGTTAAAATTAACAGGATGTGACAATTATACCCTTAGCTATTCCTCCACCGATTTTCATAATTTTACATCGTATTGGGTACTTCTCTATATCCTAACTTACCCAGTAACCTGGAACCTGTGCTGGCACCCTTTTTTTTAATCACAAATAACCTCACATGGCATTATTTAACATGTATAAAGAGGGAGTGGTGCTCTTTGATTAAGCCTAATTTTTCTCTATTATTTTATATCATTTTAAGGCTTTTATCATAGGTTAGTGGCTCTTTTTGTGAAAATTATGCTTAATTTGGATTAAGTGTCTTTGCTTTAATTTAGTCTCTTTTTAAGGATAAAATTGTTATAATTGGTTATTAATTGTATTCAATTAATTTCTTGGACAAATTATTCCTTTTCATTGCAGGATACTTGAGAATTAGAGCCAAGATTGAAGGCCAAGGGATTACACAACATGAGAACTCATAGTATTGATTTTGGAACTATCCATCACAGCCAAGAAAATTCTGCGCAACGGCACAAGTGTGAAAATGTACATCAGTTTCTATTTAGGATACCTTCACCGCGATAAAGTCCTCATATCAACAGTGCCAGATTCGGAGCAGAACAAAAAAATAGAGCACCCGTTCATATAATCTAAGCTAAACTTACCCCTTAAACATCCAAAAACCCTATTTTCGACTAACACTCCATTCTCTCATCTCCTACACCTCTATTCACTCATCTTCATGCCTCTCCCTCTCCATATTCTTCTCCATCTATTTCCTTCAACTTTTTTTCATTCCATTCCCATTTTCCTCTACTCCTAGCTACCATAGCTGATGATTTTACTTTGATTGGAGTTGTTTTTGAAGCTATGGAGGGCTAGGATTCTACCCTTGAAGATGGAAGATGGTGCTTGATTCATCCTTTGTTTAGCTATAGGTTTATGATTTCCTAGGTCTTAGGAATAGTAATTTGTAGTTAAACTCTTTGACTATGATTGTAATTACTGTTGGATGATTAATTTGTGTTTTGGATTAGTTAATGAGGATTTATGCTCTTCAATATATGCAATTGTATATATATTTAGTTTTGACTACTTACTTCCTTTTCATTCAACATGATCATGCTTGGGAAGAAAAGGGTTTTTAATTGAATCTAATGCATTGACTGATCATAAGCACACACTAAGAGGACTTCACAATGTCTTAAGGACTGGATTCATGAATTAAGACATTAGACTCAATGGTATTTGAGGTTTACTATTTAGGAAGATTTAGTGAAAATAAACTCACAGTATCTTTTATGAACAATGATTGTACTAATCCATTTTCAAGAGGCCCATTATCATCCATTTCCATTCCATCATCATTTTATTAAAAATCCAAAAATATAGTAGCTTAGGTTTATTTTTATTGCATATACATTAGTCACAATTCAATTAAATCTTCAAAACCCAAACCCCTTTCATTTCACTAGATGGTATTTAGTCTAGCTTATGTCATCAATAAAGGCTCTACACGAACACGACCCAAATTGCACTGCTATATTTTAACTCTTAGATCTGATTATAAATTTCTTGCATTGAACCCCAAGGCATAACGACATGGTCAAATCACTCTTCCCTTTGTTCTTTCATTGAAACATTTAATAATATTTATGTTAGAGTAAACTTGACCAAATACTTTCTATTAGTCTATGACTCTGAGAATCTATCTTTGGGTACCAATACTACCTTTGCATCATAGCAAATTTTTTTAATTTTTCTCAAATCAAAAGTTAACCCATAGTCGATTTATTTTGACTTTCCTCGAATAATGTATAAATAGGCTTTAAATTCTGTTAAAGCCACCCTCTTTGCTTTCTGGGATGAAATCATTTTTAAAACTGATGATAATTTCTCAAATATTTGTTCTCCATTTTTCTCCAATTATTTTAGGCCTCCTCGTATTTTAAATAATTCAATTTGGATTAGTATTTATAGTCAACCAAAACCCTAGGAATTTCATCAATTTGCTCTAGGGGTATTTTTGTTATTTTCAACCCCTTACAGGCCTCAAAACTTCATTTCCCATTTTTATAGAATATTTTGGGGTTTTTCTAAAAAAATTTTTGTGTAGTCTCCATCACTACCTTTTTGGCCTGTTTTTCAAATTTACGATTAGGTCCCTACTTGGATTTAACTTTAGGAATCATCTCACTGACATTCTCGACACAACCTTTGATCCTTAACCATTTCCAATCCCATACTCGATCTCTCAAGACTTTATCCAAATCTCTAACTTGCCTGTCTCATGGTTCCAAAAGGTTTTAACTTTGTAATTTGATCCCTAGGAATCTTCTCATCCTTCTAGAAAAATTCTGGAACTCTTACAAAAAAAGCTCCAGTAGCCTGCAAGTTTAGGGTAATTTTAGTACTTCTAGGCCTAAAATTTGGGATGTTACATCTTGCATGGCTACCATTACTCTTTCTATTCTCCTTTTCCCTCCATAGACTTTGGCCTCCTCCTCTCTTTTTTCTCTTTGGCTGAAATTTTATGATGAATAGGAGGGTATAGTATCTATAATGCAAGAGTTACTATTTATCTTGGTTTATCTCATTTACCTTTGCCATAACATATGTCATTTGCTCAAATCACCCTTTATATGATCCTGCCAAGTGTCCATCAAAGATGACAAGTGTCTTGGCTTTTAGAAGCTTTAATTCCCATGTGACTCATGTGCATTGCCATGTGTTTCTTGATTAAGCCACCTATTTCATGATTTTTCCATGTGTCATCACCAATTTGTAAAGTGTTCATCAAATGGCCTAGAAAGAATTCTACCAATAAAGAGCTCTTCGGTGGAGTGAAATGAAGAGGGAAGAGAGAATTAGAAAGCTTACTTAACAAGCTTCCAATCTACCAGTCTCATTTGTCTCTTGCCAGTTCCTTTTCTTTTCCACAAGCTTTCATGAAATTTTTAATCAATGGAAAAGTTTTGATTTTGGTGCCATTATAGAGGAGCAAAGAGGAAAATAGTCAGCTCTATTGAAAGGTCAGTCAACCTCCCTGAGTCACAGGGTAGAGATTTTACTGTACCAGGTAGATAGAGGACTGTATAAACCCTACCCTTATTGAGTTTTGCTTTTCCTACTATCCTTAAAGCTGGTGACTCAAATGATGACTCAAAATCTCCATAATGGCGTCATAAAAACGTTTTAGCAACTCAGCATGCTGACTTAGCATGTTATTAATGAACCTTATCTTTTTGTCTCCTATTTAGAAGACATTAATTATTTAATATTTAACTAAAGCATTTTATTCGATCCAAAACTCTAAAAATTCATCCATCCATACCATAAACTTTCTTTAATTTTTGAAAAATTCTATGAATTTTCTCAAACCATAACTTAGCTTGTACATATTTCTTTTTGAATTTCCCGTAAAATGTCCCTAAATGGCATAACCGGGTCTTAAATAGTTTTAAAGTCATTCTGCTCGCCTTTTGTAGATGAGACTAATTTCATAATTTTTTGTAGTCTCTTAACTCATGAATTCTCATTTTTACTTATTTTTCTAAGGCCTCTGTGTGGCTTAAATAAATAGTTCTAGCTATATATCTCAAAATGAGCCGTAACTTTAAAAATTCTATTAAAGTCATCTCAGGGGTATTTTCATCATTTTTCTTCACAAAAAGGAGTTAAGACACCATTTCCCATTTTTTTGAAATTTTTAGACATAATTTTCGTCTTTGCCCTTTTTGACCCGAAACTTTTCAAAATTACTATTTTAGCTAAACCTCGAATATAACATTTGGCCCGTAACTAAGCTCTTTTCTCACTTTTATGCCTCAAAAGTTCACCAAAGTCTCTAACTATATTTATACTTTAGCCCCTAGGACTTTTCAAATTTGCAGTTTAGTTCCTAAAGACCTTTGAGCTTTTCTCTCACATTTTTGAAACTTCTACTCAAAAGAACTTAATAGCCTATTCATCTTAGGCTAATCCTTACACTTTCAAGTCCAAAATTCAGGATATTACAAGAGGCATCCTTGCCAACCACCAACTTGTTTTTTTAACCATTGCGAGTAAAGGATCCCAAAACACCTCCAACACCTATGCCAATTATTAATGAAGCCAATTTGGAGTCATTTCTAAATTGGCAGCGTCTAGAACCTTTTGCAATAGCTGTGTACTAGGTAACGTTGACAATGATTAGCCTTAGTATTATCATCCCTATCATCCCTCCTTTTTGTAATTTATCTCATGTAAGCTTGGCTATCCACTACATTTGGAGGGAGTTTTTAATTTCCGCCCAATAAGATACTTAAGACTTTGTTGATCAGTTCTATTGAAAAATTTGCCTCTTTCCAAGTATTAATGCCAATGTTAGACCACAACCATTAACTCCTCTCCATAGATAGATAGGTTGAGGTGCCTTGGGGCTAAGGCTTTGTTGGAAAAATGTCACATGTTTACCTCCCTTCTCCTGAGCCCGCTTGCCTCCAAACCAACCCCTCCCGAATGACCAACAAAAAGAGAAGGATGAAGATGGCCGCCTCAGAAGAGGAAAACTTGCTTCAAAATAGCATACCCTTGCTTTCTTTGCAATTGTTAGCATCCCATCTTGAAGAGCGCCAACATTCTTTCTGCCCCGTACTTGCTTTTCTATACAACTCAAGGGCAGCAGCATCTTTCGGCAACATTTGAAAATTCCAAATTGGTACAGGTGGAGTGATTTGATATTTTGTATATCAGAATTCCTTACTTGTCATTTACAAATTTTTTCCAGGATTTTTGATATATTCTTTAAATTGCTACTTTTTTAAGGTTAAATTTTAGCTTAAAATATAAAAGAACTATGAATTTGCACCATCCAAATTAAATTTAGAGTAACCAAATGTCATCTTAATGATACACAATTGAAATTCAGATATAATAACAAGAATATTGCAGCTAAAGTCCAGCAAATATAAATGAAATATTATTCTTCAAGAAACAAGATCCGCGTCAGTATACAACCTCATGGACAACTAAAATGTATATTTTTAGCATCACAGGGTTGGCCCCAAAAAAAAAACAATACATCAATAGGGTTACATCAAAATTTCAACATGTTGACCTAACTCTAATGCAATGTGTATATATCCCGTCAAGTGTATTAGATGCTCCGTTCGAATCTTGTATAATCACAAAGTTTCTGTTGCAACACCGAAGTCAGCTTTCATGCCAAAGACGATCAAAACTACCTGCTCACTCATCTCATAACAGATTCTTTCACATAGGATCGACCACCTGAGCTGCAATGATAAGAATAAAATTAGAAACCAAGTAAAGATGCTTCCAAGTAACCATAAAAATGTTGTGATAAAACACGCTCCAACTCACGAATATTCTAGGCGAATATTCATAAATCGACGATTTTCTTTGCTTTGAGACAGCACCACTGAGCCTTCAATAACTTGATCTTGCTCTAGTTCTACGGGATCATAGAAGTATATCAACGTCTACACATAGTGCAAAAAACATTAATCAAACATAAATTATAGATTTCAATTAAACCGAAGTTTGACCAAAAAACCAAAACAAACAACAGAAACCACTAAACAAGGAAGGTCATCATGCTACACACATCATGAAGCTATAGCTTTAGAACACCTTGGCAAGCGCTCATGCCCAGGTCCTAATTTATATCCCATTGACCAGTCCTCATGGATATTCTATTATCGTTCTATGCTTTTTCTTACACTATTTTCCCCATTTACCCTGGCAATTGTCAGATTTGTTGTCAGTGTGTTGCAGCGGCACCAGCGTCAAGGATATGCCCAAGACGCCTGGTAAAAAGAGCTCCTAAATGTTTACATAAACTCGTATTGTTCATTCATAGACTAAAGTTATTCGATTATCCAGGAATTGATTAGACTTATATTAAATTATACAAGGTAAATAGCCTTATTTTGAACGTTGCCTTGCACCAAACAGCATGTCATGGACCATGATACCAAGAACCTGTGTGGAGGCAAGTTCTCTAGCTTACTTGAATTGTTTCGACTTATATTAAGAAATTATATGCCATGTACCATAGTGCTAAGTCTAAGATCCCGTGTGGAGGCACGTTGTCTAGGTTACTGTGAGTGCTGCAGATAGATTCCGGAAGATTTAAGATATATTAAGATAACATGTTTGAGTTTTTTGCCTTGGAATATCTTCAAGGTAAGCAAAACACAAATGCTGAAAGTTGAACACACTGCCAAGCAATGAAACTAAGACAGCTTATCTGCATACTAGAAATTATAAAAACAAACAGCACCTGTTGCCAATGGGTTGGAGGGTCCTCGGGTGCAGTGGATAGAACCAATGCCTCGCTAGGATTTGTCCGTTTCTTTCGGTGACTTCCATCCGTTGGATGGTTGTCAACAGACAAATTTGTAAAATAAGAATTTGCTGGTGTAGTTGCGGGTCCATTAAATTCAACATCAAACCAAAATGCAAACCCATGCAATGGAGCTGGAAAAAATGGGAAATATATTACCATAACACATTACGAGGAACAAGTGAACATTTATTTTGTCATTTATAATAATGACTATAAAAACTCATAGGTAAGCTTTAAAACAGAGCTGAAAACATGGCCTATGGACTAGAACACAGAAAAAATTGAGTTTGACCCATGGAATTTGAGAATACGCTTTAAATAAAAGGAGCGAAAGAGGGGTGATCAAGATAAGCAGAGAGAAAAAGTATCAATTAGAAATACATAAATGAGAATAGAACATGCATAGGAAAGGTTACCTCGCATCATTGACTTAAACTTATATCTAGTTGAAACAGATTCTAGCTCATGGATGGTAACCGAATAACAGTCAACATGTATTACCTGTAAAGGTAAATTATCAAAATTTTGGAAACAATACTGGCTATGTGAAAGGGAGAAATTTTTGAAATATAACAAACTCAAACATGCATGTATGGAAACAGTTACAAATGGAAGTTTTTATAAAGATATATTTTCTTATCAAATTTTGAATTTGTCTTCAAAGTATTCCACTAGTCACCGAGTAGGGTGAAAACTAGCAATATATTGTAATACAAGAGGCATTTGAAAGGGTTTCCTTTATCTCAATTAAAGAACAAACTCAGGAATAACACTTCTTCAGCAGCAAGGGAAGATGCCAGCTGCAAGAAACTACAATTACATTATCTATGGGCTTCGCTTAATAATCTAATCTTATGAGCTGAATTATTGCTTGGCATGGTAATAAATAATGTGGTGCTGATAATCCAGAAATGGCAACAAATAATGTGGGAATGATCACACTTTTGTTGAATAATAAAGTTGGATTAGAAGAGAAAGAATGACTCAAACCAACCCCAGTTCCCTCATACACCCATAAATAGAAATTACAATTAGATAAGAGTTACAGAATACAAGTAACAACCTACAATACACAACACATAACATAAGCCACTGAACTTCTGAGAGCCACTACTCTCCCAAACTCACTACACTAGCCCAAAGACTGAACTCCATCTCTTTGGACCAAAGGGAATATTTAAAGACCCAAAAAGTGACTCTGTTTAAATACCTGCTTTTATTGTATATAGTTATTAGCATTTATTAGCCTCATTTATTAGGTTTTATTCTTTTATATCTCTTTGCAGATTCGGATGTATCCTATCTTTCATGTGAATGAGAAAACTACATTTCCCCCAGAATTCCACACTGCATCAAAGCCAGGTTAAAAAAAGGAGTGAGATCAAAATACGGTTGGGCAGAAGAGAGCGTCACAAACGTGCTTTTCTCCAGATATGAAGGCTAATTTTGTCTGTTACAAGAGGTTATCTCCTGATATGAAGGCTTTCGCAGCAAGTATTTCGATTCAACAGAACATTAGTAAAGCAATCTCCTTTGGCATGGTTTTAAGATTCACTGAGGTAGTCAAGAAGAATGGACACACTCAGCGTCAAATAGTTCATACTCTGTAAAGGCTCATGGTGGAAGAACAGTGCTAATAGTTTATGTAGATGACATAATAATTACAAGAAATGTTCTCAATGAAACCCAGAACTTGAAGTTATTTGCAGCTTAATTTGAAGCAAAAGACCTAGGGTGGAAGTTGGCAGATCGAGAAAGGGGATAATAGCATCCCAAAGAAAATATACGCTTGATCTCTTAAAGGAGATAGGGATGTTGAGGTGTAGGCATGCAACTACACCTATGGAAGTCAACATCAGTTTTGAAGAAAAGAAAAGGGACACAAAAAAGAAGCCTAGGAAGGTAGAGATACTTCCAGCTCCTGTCAATAAGGGCAAGTACCAATAACTTGTTGGCAAATTGATCTCTCTCCCACATTAGACCAAATACAGCCGATCTTGTTAGCGTGATAAACCATTTCTCAAACGAGCCAATTGGAACACCTTTGACGACTATCTGTAGAATCTTACATTATCTGGAAGCAACCCCAGGCAGGGATTGAGTTTTAAAAAGGAATCACAGGCGGGCTGAAATATACAATGATGCTAGAGGGAATGTACGAAAAATAAATCAGCGTTAACATGAAGACTCACCACATGTGGCCATGTCAAAACATTTTCACCCGTTATTGTTTCCACAGAAGGTTCTTCAAATGCACATTGTTTAGCTAAAGGTAACATGGCAGACACTGCAACCAAAATCAAAATATAATGGATAAAAGGAAATAGGATATTTATGGACACACATCTATCGATTTGAATATAGATCTACATCAATCCACATATACCATATAACAAGTTTTCCAATTAAGTTCATTTTCTCATAGCAAAGAACTTGTGCTAAAATATTTTCCCCACAACACCTATCGAAAACCCTGAGCCCAAGCCCAACAAATGAGGTTCACTTACACATTCTGTTTCTATTTCATTTTTCCATTTTTTGCTGCATTCTTAATTACTAACTCCCTCAATTCAGATGGGACAGATATCATATTTTTTAAAAGCTTTGTTTTCTTTGTTAGGAAGGTTTAGCTGTGTCATTGGGCTCTATCTGTATTAGTCGTATGATTATCTAGTAAAACTTTAGATGAATCTTGGTAACTTCTCTTCCATAGTGTATACATATTAGATATCCTATGATTGATGTAAATAGTATAGGACTAGAAAGCCATTAATATTGATTCATACATATTTTTTCCTAAACCTCTAATACCAAAGCAATCATAGTCATTCTCTCTTCTCATTTTTTACTTGGTTCTCCTATTCACTATTCACTATTTGTCTTGACTCGGTTTTAGATGTCCCACTACTGGCCTGTAATCTTCTGTCTATTAACAAGTTGACAAAACATGCAAATTGTGGTGTTTATTGCTTTCCTACTTACTACGTTTTTCAGGATCTCTCATCAAGGAACATGATTGGCATAGCTAGGGAGCATGATGGTCTCTATTATCTCAACATCTCCACTGTGGTTGCTGTGTTCACAAATAGATGGTCTTGTTTCTTCATCTGTTGATCATAACATTTTATTATGGCATAAAAGGATGGGTCATCCTAGTTTTCCCTATTTGCCATGTTTGTTTCCAAATTTTACCATTAATAAGAATTCAATTCTTCATTGTAAATTTTGCGAACTTACAAAGCACCATCATATACCTTTTCCACCATCCCATTACAAACCAACTCGCTTGTTCAATATAAGTCATAGTGATGTTTGGGGGCCGTCTCGTGTTTCCAATCGTACCCATGCCGAATGGTTCTTTACTTTTATTGATAATCATACATGCATGTCTTGGGTCTACTTAAAGAAAAATCTATTGTCTCTCCCATCTTCATGGAATTCTTAAATCTAGTTAAAAATTAGTTTAATACCACCATTCAAATTTTATACGCTGACAATGGCACAGAGTATTTTAATCAACATTTAGCTACATTTCTCAAAGCCAAAGGAATTGTTTACAATAGCTCTTGTCCTCACAATCCATAACGAAACGGCATTACCAAAAGAAAAAATAGGCACCTTCTTCAAGTCGCTAGAGCCCTTCTTTTTATGTGCAATGCACCTAAATTTTTTTTTGGGACATGCCATTCTTACAGCAACTCAATTAATCAACCGTATGCCCAGTCGGGTTCTTTCCTTTGTCTCTCCTTTGAACAAACTTCGTGAGACTTATCCTGTTGCTCATCTTGATCATCAACTTCCGCTTCGTGTCTTTGGTTGTTCTGTTTTTATTCATCTCCATCATCCCGTCTAAATTTGATCCTCGAGCCATTAAGTGCATTTTTCTAGGGTAGTCCTCTAGCCACAAAGGATATAATTGTCATGAACCTGTCTCAAAACGCCTCCTCATTAGCCGCGATGTCACCTTCTCTAAGCAAGAACCTTTCTTTCCCAAGTCTTCAATTCAAGGAGAGAGTTGGAGTGAATTTTAGTCTTTGGAAAGTGTACCTGAACCCATACCCCCACTCCTCAAGTCTACTCCATCTGTTAAGTCTGTTCCTCCAAATGTTACGGAAGTGCCAAAGGCAGGGGGTGATAAGAATGGTAAGAAATATCACAGTTTACTCAAGGCGAGACAAAGAGACTATAGAGCCCAACTTGCCTAGAGTCCTGCCAGAGTCTGAGCTAATGAAAGTTTCTAAACCCACTGAGGCAATAAAACACAATGATCTGCCCATTGCCTTGAGGAAGAAAACCTGCTCATGCACCATGCATTCTATACAAAAGTATGTATCGTATGCAACTTTATCTCATAATTATCGTGCTTTTGTTACTGATCTTGACAAAATCAGAATAGCTGATAATATGTATGAGGCACTTGAACATCTGAAGTGGAAGAAGGCAGCGATGGAAGAAATAATGGCATTAGAAAAAAATGGAACGTGGAAGTAGTTGACTTACCAAAAGGGAAGAAAATAGTAGGGTGCAAATGGGTCTTTACCCCTAAATATAATGCTGATGGCACTCTCAACAAGTTTAAGGCACGATTAGGTGCCAAGGGCTTTACTTAGACCTATGGAATAGATTACAGCGAGAAATTTGCCCCGACACTAAGATGAACACAATAAGGGTTCTGCTATCAATTGCAGCCAACTTAGAATGGCCTCTACAACAACTAGATATCAAAAATGCATTTCTCAGGGGTGAATTAAAAGAAGTCTACATGATACTTCCTCCTGGTTTTGATAAAGGAAGACAAAATCAAATATGTAAATTGAAAAGATCCTTGTATGGGTTAAAGCAGTCACCTTGTGCATGGTTGATAGATTCTCGAAGGTCCTTAAAGTTGAGGGCTACAGACAGAGCTTATCTAACCATACAATGTTTGTCAAGAAAAATAGAGAACTAATGGCAATCCTTATTGTCTATGTGAATGATATTATTCTTACCAACAATGATGTAAATATGAAATAGGATAAAGACAGCCTTAAATAAAGAGTTCGAGTGAAAGACCTAGGAAAACTAAGGTATTTTCTCATAATGGAAGTTGCCCAGTCAATAAGGGGAATTTATGTCTCTCAGAGGAAATATATTCTCGATCTGCTCAAAGAAACTGGCATGCTTGGTTGCAAACCAATTAAAACTCTGATTAGTGTCAAAAAGAGTTGCACCAAACGAAGTAAGAAGAGAGCAACAACCAAGGAGAAGGAAGAAAAAGAAAACAAGTAACAATAAGATGAGGAACCAGTTGACATTGGGAGGTATCAAAGAAATTGATCTATCTATCACATTCAAGGCCAAATATTGCCTTTGCGATTAGTGTCCAAGTCAACAAATGCATTCACCTAGGAAGAAACACTTGGATGCAGCTTATAGAATTCTAAGGTACTTGAAAGGAACACCTAGAAGAGAACTCTTCTTCAAGAAATGTGACTCCAGAATAGTGAAAATCTATACTGGTGCTGATTGGGCAGGTGATCAAGAAAACAACAGATCAACACCAGGCTATTGTACCTTTCTGTAGGGAAATCTAGTAACTTCGCAAAGTGAAAAACAGAAGGCTGTAGCCAAAAGTAGTGCAAAATCAGAATTAAGAGCTCTGGCTTTAGGCATAATGGAGGGACTATGGTTGAAAATAGTAGTAGAAGAGGCCCGAGTTTAGATCACCGAACTAATGAAACTTTTTTGTGATAACAAGGTAGCTTTAAACATGGCTCTTACCCCAATTTCAACATAGCAAAACCAAACATGTCAAGGTCGATCAATACTTCATTAGAGAAAAGGTGGAAGATGGAGTTTTGCGCCTATCCTATGTGACCTCAAAGCAACAACTTGCAGACATTCTGACCAAAGGACTTCCTGAAGACCTATTTGAGAACTTCATAAGCAAGGAACTTCATAAGCGAGTTGGACATGATTAGCATCTATAATCAAACTTGAGGGGAGGTGTGGTTAATATTTGACTAGGTCGTAATTACCAAAATATTAAGCAAATTATAAGGATTTAGATTTAATTCAAATTATTCCTATAATCACTCTTGATCTCCCATGTAATCTTCCCGATTCTCCTTCTCCTCTATATATTCTCTTTATAGTGCATAGATCAATACAATTTAGATTAATTATTCCATACCAGCTCTATAAGAATAGACACTTGAATGCACTAAAGTCAACTATCCATACATTTTTAGATGTAGTCACACTACCAAGAGAGTGAGTTAGGACAATACTTGCATGACACAGAATACCAAATGATGTAGGGGTCTAACTAGCAGAGGCAAAAATATGTTTGTTTAACGATTTTCATGGAAGCAACAACTAATCATGGCTCAAGGTATCACCATCAGAAGGAGAGGAACCTACCATCAAGTCCTCACTTTCAGTTTTTCCTTTATGTTTGTTGTGTGGAAGTTTTCCATGTGACTAACACACTTGTCATGTGTGACCATTCTTATGACAGTGATCACACCATTGGCTAGACTTTTTTGCTTTGGTGTTGCCTTGGGAGCCAGATAGTAAGAGCAGATGAGCCATTAGAATGTGAAGAAGAAAAAGAAGAGGAATTAGTTAGTGCCTTCATGCTTTCTTCAAATTTGACAATATTGAAGGCTTCTATCAATAGTGGAAGAGCCTTGAGACTCATGATTCATCCCCATACATCTCCAAAGGACTCATTGAGCCCAAGTAGCAACTTGTAGCATCGTTCCTGATCCACCAACTTTTTGTAACGCATAGCATCCATAAGACATGACCATTCATAGGCCTCATAAAGGTCTACTTGCTGCCAAAGTTTCATTAGTGCAGTGTAATAACGAACTATAGATTATTCATCTTAATTCATAGAGTAAGCATTTGACTTAAAGCAAACAATGGTGTTTTCTGTAGTAGAGCAACTAGCTTTGGTAGAACCCAAAATTTCTTTGGTCGTTGTAGCAAGGAGATAGATTTCGCCAATCTCTACTATCAAGAATTGACAAGCCATGGCATAACAAAGTTGCTTACTGCGTACAATGTGCCAAATAGAGGGTCACTTGAGGCTGGTAGAGGTGAGTACCCTATGAGATATTTTTCCCTATTGCAACCATGAACAAACATGAGAACATAGTGAGACCTTTGAAGATAATTAGTCCCATTTGAACAATGGGTAATCAGCATTTGAGAGAAGGATTCGATGGCCAACCTACTAGTGACGAGTTCCTCATCGTTCCGCTACCTTGTGAAGAAAACCTTGCCCTATTGCAGTCATATTATTGCCATATGCAACGAAAAGGCATGGCTACACCAGCGCAGTCTTGAAAGACATTGAGCGTGGTGTTTTGCGAGCGTGGTGTTTTGCACGGCTCTTGTACCATGAAAGTTTTGAATAAAAGTTCATTGTATTATTCATTGAAGATCAACTTACATTATATATAGGGGATATAGGGAATACAACTAATTAGTACAAATCTGAACATATCCTTATGTTCCTCCTAGAAATGAAATAATAACAATAACCATAGTTTTACAAGAGATTAGAAGAGATTCACTGTAATAAGAATAGGAAATCAGGTACAACATTTAGTTTTGGGCCCTTAGGTGGCAAGCCCACTTTCCTACAATATCTATCAGGAAAAAACTAAAGCTATCTAGATATGAGCTTCGAAAGTGAAAAACAAAAACAAAACAAAGACAAATAGATAAAAAAACTACAACAGTATAGAAACATATCCTTTTACTAACAAGTAAATGAAATGTTATCCAACATATAAAAGTAAGTATTGAACTATTTCTAATATGCAAATCATATTATAAGCAATCAAATATCAAAATTCACACATACCGTATACGTGAATACCGTTCACTTCAAACTGGCACAAGCACACCATATAGATATTGATATCACAAAAATAGAGGGTATCTAGGTACAGCAAGTAAACTTACTATCAATTCCATAGACATTACGCCAGAAGTCAATGCTTTCACTGTATCGGTCAGCATGAGTTACAGGAGCCATGTACAGCTACATAGAAGCACATAGAATTCAGATTTATATAGCAAAGTATATACTAAATCCAGTAATTATTGTTGAGGTCCCAAGCACATTTAAGGAAATGTGGTTTAAAGTGCAAGAAATGTTTGTTGAGTTGTCAAATGTATCACAATAGCAGGTGAAACTAGTCGGACAGCACACTCGCACACTCATGTTACCAAAACAGATTATGCTTTATTAAATGGATTAATAGTAATCCTCAATAGATATTATCAATTATTAGGATCAATTTTAGTATAATTTTTCAATTTGATTTCATCAGATTTGACTGTGTTTTCTCCTATCCATCTAAACATAAGGAGTGACAACATTATCTCTCTAGATTTTTCTTTTCTCCATTTTCTTTCCTCACAATTGTTCTCCCCATCCAAATAGGCCATTAATGTGCTTTACCTTCTTTCCTTCCCTATTCTTTAACTGTTTGACATTTTTTTCAAAATATCTCACTGCTTTTCTTCCTTTGAGAGAGTCGAAGCATCCATAACAAGGATCTATATAGAGCACAACTCCGTCTCTACCACAATGAAAACTTGCCTAAAAGCTTTGAAGAGGTAGTAAAAGATCCAAAATGGAGAGAAGCCATAAATGAGGAGCAGAAATCACTAGCAAAAAATCAGAATCAGGAGGTGACCAATCTACCATCAAGGAAGTTGAAAGGGAGCTGTAAATTGGTGTTTACTACAAAGTATAACCCATAAACATATACAAAGCAAGACTCAGCTAGAGGATTCACTCAAACACATGGCATTGCCTATGAAAAGACCTTTGCTCCTATTGCCAAACTCAATACAATTAAAATCCTTTTATCACTCGTAGCAAACCTTGACTAACCCCTTCATCAACTAGACATCAAAAATGCCTTCTTGAATGGCAACTTAGAAGAACTGTATATGGAGCTACAACTCGGCCTAGGAGATACTAGAAACCCTTCCAGGGTATGCAAACTAAAGAAGTACTTGTATGGGGTAAAACTGTCTCAAAGAGCGTAGCTTGAAATATTCACAAGTGAAGTAAGAGTTTTGGCTTTAGCATCCGTGTCAAACTAATCACACACTTTTTGTCAATGCACAGAACAGAAAAATGTCTATTCTCATGGTGTATGTAGATAACATCACCATCAACAGAGAGAGCATTCAGAAGCTAAAAGGTTCACTAGCTAGAGAATTTGAGGTAAAAGATCTTGGCAATCTCAGATACTTCTTCGGAATGGAGGTAGCCAAGCCTAGTACTGGAATTTCAGTGTCTCAAACGACACACACCCCCGACCTTTTAAAGGAAACAAGAATGTTTGGAGCAAAACTAGCAGAAACACCCATGGAGGCAGCGCATAAGACAATTCAAAAAAGAAGACATTCCAATAGATGTGGGCAGATATCAAGAGCTAGTAGGGAAACTATATCTCTCACATGCTAGACCTGATGTAAGCTTTCCAATGAGCCTCGTTAGCCAATTCATGCAAAATCCTCAAGAGCAACACATCGATGCAGTACATAAGATTATTCAATACTTGAAGATGACCCCTGGATATGGCTTGTTCTTCAAAAAGGGACCAAGTAGAACCAATGAAATGTTCAACGATGCTGACTGAGGAGGTTCTGTTACTAATAGAAGATCAACTACAAGGTATTGTACTTTCGTGTTGGGAAATCTAGCCACATAGAGAAGTAAAAAAACAATCTATAAACAAATGCCAAGGCCGAATACAAAGCCCTAGCACTAGGAATATGTGAACAAATATGGATAAGAAGAGTCTTCTCTAAACTGAAGATTGGAGTCGAACCCCAGATGAAGATGTGGTCCAGTGGCCAAAAGACTAGCAGATATATCATTATTAGTGGTAAAGGAAGAAACAAGATCAAAATAGTAATATTCATTCACACAATCCCCATGACACCCAAGATCCAATTTATAGAGATATTAAGATAATTACCCAAATTACACTTTAGCCCCTAATTCCCCTTACCATTCCTAATTCCCATGTATTAATATTAATATCAAAGTTTATTACAAAGATACATATGGACTATGAGTGTAGAAATTAAGAGGGAAACTAATTCTTACTACTTATTTCTTAACAATCAGAAACAATGTGTTGATGGTGGGAACCAGGAACAAACATAAAAGTATGTCAAATATTTCTAATAACAATAACCAAAAGATAAGGAGATGAGAATAGAGCCACAAAAAGAAAAGTTAAGACCAAATAATCATGTTATCTCCTACAATGATTTCTAGTAGCTGTTGTTTTTATTGTACAGCTTATATCTCTTAGCAAGCATGGATTTGAAGTAAAGAAAAAGGTGAACATTGGATGGCAATCATTCTAATAAAACTAACTAACTAACAAAACTGGGTAAACAATATGCATTGAAACATCTGCATAAAAAAAATAAAGTTACCTTTGCATCTGAAGGAAGAATAAGACCTCCAGGTTTGAGCCAGCGATCCCTAGCTGTGATAACACTTCCAAGCATGCTCTACAAGGTTAACACATATGGTTATTTAGGTGGTTAATAAATATTAATTGAAAATAGTCAAACATAATCAAATAGTTTTAAGACAGGAGATTTGTTATGATAATCAGATGACATGGCTTTAGTTTAGCAAGTTTCCTAGCCTAATTTTATGTCCATGAAATTAGCTTACATTAATTATTTCTCATTCACAGATTCCTATTCTATTAAGGGCTAATCTTCCGAAGACATCCATGAGGCATCAACCCAGCACAACTAGCTATAATCCTTGGAGATCTTATCAATCTCACCAGAAAATCGAATCAAAGATTATCTAGGAAATCTACAATCTTACTCAATTCTTGAAAAAAAAAAATCCTCACATGAATAATCAAATGATAAAAAAAAGGAAAAAAGCTAGGAAAAGAACAGCTAATAATCAGGAATCACATACATTCCAATGCTCCCCCTTAAGATGGTGAATAAACGTTTATCATTTCTATCCTTTAGTAGGTGTGTACATTGCCCCTATCAAGCTTACTAAATATTCTCTTTGATATATTGTCAATTGATCGCTACATGCTTTTTCTAATTGTGATACCACCCCAATGGTTGCTATATTATCACAGAGGACTGTCATACGGCTTCCAAACCCAATCTTCAATTCATTCAATACTCAAGACAGCAAAGAACCTTCACAATTTCCCATTACTAGAGCCGTAAATTCTGCTTCAACACTATTATGTGCTACCGCTGGTTTCTTACTCCTACAGGTCACAAGAATGACCAAGACATGCATAAAATATCCAATAATAGACCGTCTATCTGCAACAGATCTTCCCTAGTCACTATTGGTGTGCACCTCAACACCTATATGAATCCCTTGAAGTAGAGACCTTTCCCACAAGTAAGTTTTAGGTACATCAATATTGTAAAAACTCCTTCCAAAACTCCCTCCAAGTGCTCATCATTTGACTTGCTCATGAATTGACTAACTACTCCCATAGGGAATTAGAAATCAATCTTGCATCACAAAGGTATATCAGCCATCTCATTAAGCCTTGATGTATCTCAATATCAACTGGTACACAATTCTCCATCAAGCCAAATCTGTAATTATTCACATTTAAGTTTCAGGAGGTTAGAAAGTGAACATTCATATCTCTTCAAGTCCAAAGCACATTTTCTCTGTGACACTACAATTCTCTCTATTGTTTTGGCAACCTCCACCACGTCCAAGATTTCCTAGGTCAATAATTTCTTTAGCTACTTTATATCACCATGATTATTATTAGACAAAGGATAATATGGAATATATTTCTTGTATATTCATGATCAGAAAGAGGGTATTTATACACAAGAGAGGAGCCTCAGTCATTAATGGCTCATTATGAGGAGATAATATCCTATCCTATCATATCTGATTTGATCCTATATGATCCTATATTAATTACAATATATATTTACATATCTTTACACTCCCCCTCAAGTTGGAGCATAGATGTCAATCATGCCCAACTTGTTACAAAGATAGTCAACCCGAACCCCATTCAAAGCTTTAGTAAGGAGATCACCCAATTGGTCACTAGATTTCACATGTCCTGTTGAGATGAAGTTTTCCTTGATCTTATCCCGAACAAAATGACAATCAATCTCAATGTGTTTTGTGCGTTCATGAAACACTGAATTAGAAGCTATGTGTAAGGCTGCTTTATTGTCGCACCACAATTTTGCTGGTAACGTGGTTTTAAGACCAACCTCCTTCAATAATTGATGTATCCAGGCTATCTCGCACACGGATTGTGCCATAGCTCTATATTCTGCCTCTACACTTGATCGTGACACCACATTCTGCTTCTTGCTCCTCCAGGACACCAAATTTCCTCCCATAAAGACGCAATATTCTGTAGTAGACCTTCTTGTGGCCTTTGAACCACCATGATCAGCATCACAAAAGCACTCAATATCTATATGACCATGATTTTTGTATAATATCCCACGACCTGGAGACCCCTTCAAGTAATGAAACACATGCTCTAAAGCTTCCCACTGTCTGATAGTAGGCGAGACCATAAACTAGTTAAGTACACTGACTGGATAGGTGATATCAGGTCGGGTCACAGTAAGATAATTCAGTTTTCCAATCAATCTTCGATACCTCTCCGGGTTCTCAAACAGCTTGCTCTTAGCAGCATCAACGGGATTCTCAGATGGTATGCTTCCATCAGCATCAAGGAGTGGATTATAAATCATAGGAAAACTGTTTGGCGCAGCCCCTAACTTTCCAGTTTCCTTCAACAGATCAAGAACATACTTCCTTTGAGTCAATAAGATTCCTTTTTTACTTCTCAAGACCTCAATTCCGAGCCCAGATCTTTTGTTTGAAAGTGAGAATTAAGAAAGGACTTAAGAGAAGAGATCCCCGACATATTACTCCCTGTAATCACAATATCATCGACATACACAACCAATAGAATCATGCCAGTGCCTGTGCTCTGGTAAAACACAGAGTGATCACACTTACTTTGACACATGCCAAATTTCTGCACAATAGTACTGAACCTGTCAAACCATGCACGGGGACTCTGCTTTAGGCCATATAAAGATCTCTTAAGACAACATACTTTTCCACGCTCCCCCTGAGCAACAAAGCCTGGTGGTTGCTCCATATAGACTTCTTCAAGAAGATCACCATGTAAAAAAGCATTCTTTATATCCAATTGATGGAGATCCCAGCCATAGGTTGCTGCCATAGAGATGAAAAGACGAACAGAGAAGAGTTTCGCAACAAGGGAGAAAGTTTCAAAGTAATCAACACCATAGGTCTGAGCATAGCCTTTAGCAACCAGGCGAGCTTTAAGGCGGTCAAGGGTACCATCAGCTCGGGTTTTAGGGGTTAAGACCCACTTACAGCCAATAGCCTTCTTTCCTGTCGGTAGATCCACTAAGGTCCAAGTGCCAGCCCGGTCAAGGGGCGCCATCTCCTCTTCCGTAGCAGCACGCCAACCCGGGTGGGTTAAAGCTTCATGAAGGGTCTTAGGTACGGAAATAAGATCTAAAGAAGAGACAAAGGCACGAGAGGCAGGGGAAAGGTGGTTATAAGAAACAAATGAGGAAATAGGATGGGTGCAAGTGCGTTTACCTTTGCAAAGAGCAATGGACAAGTCAAGTGAGGGATCTGGATCAGGAACAGGAGGTGTCTCGGAGTTGGAGAGAGGTGGAAGTTCAGGATGAGAGATGCTCAACACAGGATCCGATGACAAAGCAGACACTGGAGGGCCGGAATCTGGGATGGTGACATTGGTCTCCTTGGAACATCGTATGTAGACATGAGACAAGGGTGGTGGCACAGGAGTCGGAGCCGGAGCCGGAGCCGGAGCTGGAGCAGGAGCGGGAGCTGGAGCTGGAGATGGTGGAGTGGGTGGCGGGAGAACCGGGTACACCAGAAGGTCATCCTCTTCCATAGAAGGAGGAGGGGCAAGTGAAATGGACGAAGAAAAGTATGGAATTGATTCTTGAAAGGTGACATCTGTAGAAACAAGATAACGATTAAGAGTAGGAGAGAAACACCGATAGCCCTTTTGAACCCGAGAATAGCCAAGGTAGACACACTTAAGGGACTTCGGATCTAATTTGGAGACAGATGGTCGTACATCCCGGACAAAGCAAACACAGCCGAAGATCTTAGGATCAACAGGAAACAAAGGTTTTGAAGGGAAAAGAGTAGTATAGGGAATGTTACCATCAAGAACCGAAGAGGGCATGCAGTTAATGAGGAAGCAAGCAGTGAAGACAGCATCAACCCAGAAGGTTTTGGGAACCTTCATTTGAAACAAAAGCGCTCGTGCCACCTCTAGTAAGTGGCGATTTTTTCGTTCTGCAACACCATTTTGAGCTGGTGTATCAACACAGAAAGATTGATGAAGGACACCGTTTTGGAGCATATAGGATTGAAACGTACTAGAAAAATATTCTTTAGCATTATCACTATGTAAAGTACGAATGGAAGTATGAAATTGAGTTTTAATTTCCGCAAAAAAGGCACAAAAATGAGAGAATAATTCAAAACGACTTTTCATTAAATATAACCAAGTTGTACGAGAATAGTCATCAACAAATGTAACAAAATATTTAAAACCTGTTGTTGACTCAACAGGACACGAACCCCAAACATCAGAATGAACTAGCTCAAAAGGGGACGAAGCCCGTTTATTGACTCGAGACACTAAAGGAAGACGATGATGTTTGGCAAACTGACACGACTTACAATCTAAAGATGACAAGTGTTGAAACTGAGGATAAACCCTTTTTAAAGAAGACAAAGACAAATGACCCAAACGACAATGTGCTTCAAAAGGAGTGAGACAACCGGCACAAGCCACAGCACGAGACCCTTGCTCATCGAGAAAATAATGTCCACCAGATTCATAGCCCCTACCAATAGTCTTCTTCGTCAAAAGATCCTGTATCAAGCAATGATCAGGAAAGAGTGAGACCCAATAGTTTAATTGACGAGTAAGTTTACTAGGGGAAAGCAGATTAAATGCAAGATCAGGTACATCTAGCACAGATGACAAATGAATGGAGGGGGTAGGTTGAACAGTGCCTGATCCAAGGATCCGGGAATGGGAGCCATTGGCAATAGTGATAGTTGAAGGATTGGCATAAGAATTATAAGTGGAGAAGAGATGGCGGTTACCTGTCATGTGGTCAGTAGCACCAGAATCTATGATCCATTTGGAGGAAGAAGAGACAAGAGCAGTAGCCTAATTACCTATAGCAGCAGGAGCACTCCCGAGTGGTGTGAGAGATTTTAATTGAGCATATTCAGCAACAGATATTGTGACCTTATCATCAGCTAGGGTTGCCACATGTGCAGCAGAGTTATTACGTTGTTGTTTGTTTTGTAGCTTACGACAAGTACGCTTCGTATGGCCCGGCTCCTTACAGTAGTAACATACCACCCCACTAGAATCTGGAGTAGTTCCCCCTTGCTTGGAGCCTCCACGGTTAGTCATCCCACA